TCCTCAGTTAAAAAGTGAGCAAGTTTGGTCAGTGTCTACTGGTTTGGTAGTTTCCTGCTTGCTTCCAAGTATGTATATTCTTCTTTTAGCTGTTCAATGTTTAAATAGGTATTGATAAATAAGTTTTTTAAAAAATTTAAGAACATCTTTGGCTTTGTCAGTCGGAAAAGTAAGGGGGAAATAAAAGTTGAAAACTGATCTAGTAAGCAGAGGAAGATTTTTGTTAACTAAGGATAAAAGTAGGTATACCAGAGCAAAACAATGCATAAACAAATTAAATGTGCATTTTTAAAGATGAGAAAATAAACATTAATGAAACATGATTAATGCAGCAGTGAATTTGAGTATTTAGCGTAAACTTAATAGAAACATAACATTTTACAAATGCTGCTGTCCTATGCATATTTGAGGATGATCCTCATTGAACAACCTGGATCATGTACAGGAAACACTCAAGCTTTCCATACCTGATGTTGGCAGAAAACGTGCATAAGCAACTGAAGGAAAAACATAAGCTTCCAGCTGGCAAGACAACAGTTTAACTGTCATAACATAACTGTTACCACAGAACTATCCAAGTGGAATGCTTTGGTAACCCTGGAGACCACCAGGTAGCTTGAACATATGCAAACATGTACGTAAGCTCAGACACACAACTCAGATACTGTTGTAACTCCCAACAACTAGTTGGGAATTGTCGAATAATGTATGGAGAGCACCAGGAAACCTGATCCAAGTTAACTACATAGAAAACCAGGACTACAATCCTGAGCATGTTTTACTTGAGTTTAACCCATAGAGTTCATTGGGACTGGTTTCAGGTAAGTGTGTATAGGATTGCATCCTTGGTATCCTAAAACCATACTTATTTTCTGAGGAGCTGGGTATAAATAATATATCACTGAAAAAACTAGCATAGCTCAAATTCCTTTTCTGATCAGTATCTGAAAGATAGTTTCTGATTTCAGACTTTCATTTTGACCTTCATGACACCTAAAAATGGAATATGGCATGAATTGGAAGAAGATTCTTCACTCTCTTACACATGTTAGTTTTTTCATTGGTTGTATATGTTTGACAATCATTCATTGGGCTTTATGTCACTTGATGCAGAAGAGGGAAGAATCTGAGGAAAGTGAAGAGCAGTTTGGAGTCTGAAGCTTCCCCATGCAAAGGTCTTAGCTTTACGTTGCAAGAACAATTTGTTGAGTCATATATCTTAACATGCTCTGTATTCAACTTCTGAAACATTTTCCAGACCAGATTGTTGCTTGTTTTAATAGTCCAAAGACAGTCCCTGGAAACTACTTTTATATAGCAGGCAAGGCTATTTGTTCAACCCAGTATTGTTTTCTCTGTTTTCCAGTTGCTCTCTAGGTTCTTGTGGTTCTTATGCAGAGGTCTTTCCCCATCTCCTGATACCTGATCCTTCTTTAAATGGAGTGCTAACAATATTTGTTTTCAATGCTACTTCCGAAAAGCATTTCACCTATCATTTTCAAAGAAAGAGTATTATATTCTCAGATTCTCAGTTTTTTGCAGTAGCATAATTTGGGGGTGGGCAGTTTGGAATCTCCCTCTTCCCTGATGCCTTTGCATCGCTGACTTGGTACGCACCCAACTGAGGAGGCAGATATCGCCCACATAAGCATCACCTTCAAACCCATTAGGAATGGGAGAAGCAGTCTTAAACTTGCAGTATGTGGATTGTTCACTTCCCAGTAGATTGTCAAGAATATGGTAAGACCAGCTTCCTCCCTTATCACTTGTCAGAGAATCAAACTGTGAATTACATGCATGGCTAGCATGTCCGAAGAGCTTTAAAATTTAATCCTACTGTACAGTCTCTCTCCTCCAACCCTCTCATATTATTCAGGCATGCAACCCATCAAGAGGTTTAGCCCTTCTCTCCCCAGCACCAGTTCCAGTGAAAAACACATGCACAAACATTCTCAACCTGCAGTGTGGTGTAAAAAATGATCCTGTTGGTACCAATGGGAGATCTGTTCTGAAGACTAATTACTGCACTGGGAAGCAATGTTCATTTATCACAGATGGGCAGGGAAAGGTTCAACTTCACTTCCATCAGTGCCATGATCCCTGCACCTTGTTGGTGCTAACCCTGTAACTTGTCTAAGGTTTTTGGGTTGAGCTAGCTTGTTTTGTCTGTCTTAGTTGTATTTCCTGGGTGCAGCTATATTTCTGTTTCCCTAGGAGATTCTATCTTGCTGTTGTTGGCTAGTGTAGCTGGGCTGCTTAGATCTTGGGAATTCTCCAGGTTTTCAGGCTATGCTTGGTGCAGCCCTGTGTGCTTTTTGTTAAAATACCATATCTTCATCATGTTTTGTTTTTGTTCTGTTTTTGGGTGGTATTTGGAAAACTGCCATTTCAAGAGGAGGTATTTTCACTAGAATATCACATGCCAGATTTATTGTTTTCTGGTTAATAGAAGAACTTTGTCATCCCTGACAAATATAGACTAGAGATTAATTAGTATATGTGTTCTTTAACTATTTTAAATATAAATAAGCCCTGTACCATTTACTGTTTTCTTTTTCCAGAAAAGATGAAAAGGAGTATGCATTGAAGCAGATTGAAGGTACAGGGATATCCATGTCGGCATGTAGAGAAATAGCAGTAAGTGAATACATTGCTTAAATAAGTTTATAATTAGTGGTGGGTTTAAAAAAAAAAAACTTTTGTAAAAGTTCAGGTTTAATTATCTGATAAATTTCTTAATTGAAACTTTATTCAAATTTCAACTATTTTTAAAAAGTATTTTGTTAAATTTAAGATGCAAGCTTTAAATACATCCTGAACAGCCATCTAGTTGGGCAGGCTTTTCCTGGTTCATCAGATTCATAATCCTGCTCCATTATTTCTTGTTATTTTATTGAATGTTTTATGTACATAGATTTTTTTCTCCTGTAATCACCTTATTGTGATTTATGATGACTGCCTAGGGATTTTTAAATATTATGTGGGGTGTGTGTGTGCGTATGAAAGTTAAATAAAGAATTTTTTAAAAAGAAACTTTTGCAGAACATTTGGTACCACTCCAGTTGGGTTTGAAAACAATTTGTAGCTTGGAGCTTCTTGAACTTGTGCCATCATTAGAAGGGATCTTATTTAAATGCTTTGATGTGTAATTAAGAGAGATTACATGGTTTTTGGACTGAGTGTATAAATTGAATACCTCCCTGTTTTGGTAGCTGGAGGTAGTGAAATAACTTTTAAAAAATAAAGGTGTTTTAAAAAGAAATTTGGTGCTTATTACCTTAGGGGTGTATGCATTCATTTTCAGTAATGAAAAGTTAAATCCGTGAATGCAATCCTCAGCAGTAGTGACTATTTCTGATCTGTATGCCACTGACAAAATATGAAATGGTACACTAGCTGAATATGCCACCAGGTGCGAGACACAGATTCTCTTCCTTTAGTTCCTCCCACTTCTAGGATATTTCTGTCATTCTGCATTTATAGCTCAGTCACCTTTTTCTATGAGGGGAATGGATAACCAAGCATGGACACGTTATTCAACAAATAACAGGAGACCAGGAACCTATTAAAGGCAAGCTCATAAAGCTGAGCCATGCATGTTTATGACTGTGTATACATGTCTTTTTCTCAGGATCATGGAGTGCCATTGAGAGACAGTGTTCAGACAACAGGCCATTGCTCAGAAATGGAATGCATAGTTTTATTACAAAGCAAAACATTGATTTAATATGCAGGCTGTTAAGAGCAAAAAAAGCATTGGTTAATCAAGCCATAATATTAGTTCTCCTGAGATGAAGAGGCAGGGACTAAATATGGACATCATTCTCAGGACCAGACTGGAGTATCTGGGGTTGGTTGCAGGGGGGGCTGGGGCTTTCCCAATTCTGCAGGTGCCTGGAGCCTATTATGGTATGTTACAAAGCTTCTTTGAATGGGACTAGGAAGGGAAGGGTGCAGTGGTGCTCACTTGGATCTTGAACTGATTTGAGTTCAAAACAATAAAAATGAAGGAAGGCAAGGAATACTGGGAAGGAAGCCAAAGCTTCCTTTGTTTCTTAAACTAATCCTCTTTCTGGATTATTTGAGAGCATATCCCAAACTGAATACTAGGACCTAACTGAAAGAACTCTCTTATATGTCAATTTATACCAGGAGAGTTTCACTCCCTACAATTTGACCTAAATGGCAAAGGAGAACAGAGTCTTGATGGGCACCTAGGAGTCGCCCTGGGGTGTATCGAATGAAGTGAAAATATAATTTCTACTCATAACCTCCAGTGAATAATTCACTCCCCCCCCCTTAAGATGTATGAATGACTAGCAGTGGTAGTGCTTTAAGGTTGATGTTTTACTGTAGCTGGCTTTCAACACATGCTCTTGAGTGGTTTGCTAAAGTTATGCCATCAAATAATTAGAGTGGCTTTTGTATGTTTGGAGTTCTTGTGCAGTTATGCAAAGCTGGCAAGAAGCATTCCTACTGAAACCAACTGGCATGAATTTAAGATTTCCCCCTCGCTGATCCTAAGCTCCATGCTTAGTTGGCCTGTACCATGCAAGAATGAAAACAATTAGACATTTTAGGAATTTTCAAAAGACCAGCAAGGTAGAGCACATCAGCAATGGGGTAGGTCATGGCTTCTATTTCCTGAATATGCAAAAGGAATTCTAATTACTGAATTGCATATACTTGAATATCTTAAATATTTCCAAATTGGGAATGCCTCCTCCTATGCATGATTTGGAAGCACATTTTAAAACCTTCCTGTACTATGTTGAAAATACTTCAGAATGATAGATAATGTTAAAACGGGGCATAGTCTGTCACTTCTGTGCTTCATCACCCACTAAAATCAGTGCATCTAATTTGCTTCATCAGTACTGAAACCTATATTAAAGGACTGCAGCCTAACATGTGAATTATGAAGCAGCCATCCCACCACCCTCTAGCAGAGGGAGATGGGACTATAGGGCTTCTCCATTGGCTCTACTGGAAAAACACCAACTTTTGCCCCTGCTATCCTTGAACTCTATCCAGTACAGCTGGCTGTTAAAATAATTCTATTACTCAAATCCATTGCCTAAGTTTGCTATCCCCTTCTTCCTTCCCAATCTCCTTTCCTTTTGAAAGTTTGTTCACTATGCATTTGAATACCTCTGAAGCTAACCAATTTTTGTATGATAGCTTCTGAGATCAAGGTACAGGTTTTCATCTGTATCTGAGTACAATTGACTGTCATTTTGAATCAAAATTGTCAATGGAACCTTTCAAAACCACACTGATTTTTACCATGGATTTCAAAACTGCACTAATTTTTTTGTTTCTTAGTATTCCCGAGCAATGCTGGGAATAAGCTGCAATAAGCTGCTGTTTATTGATATTTGTAAACCTGTTCTGGAAGCCTTTTTTTCAGCTGAAGAGCAAGCTAAAAACACTTAACAAACAAATCAATCAGATATGGAAATAATCTGTGCAAACCTAATTCAGTCACAGTTTACACAGTTAGCATTTTGTAGGAAGAAAAATGAAAATTGTATGCTTTACCTTTTGGACTTCTAATCATATTTAGTTATTTGACTCTTAATGTGATCAGTACATTGTTAGGTGGCTGTATAGAGAGACATCTGCAACATTTACTTATTCCTATCACGTTGCATAGTTTAAGCTCAGATGAAAATATAATGATGACACATTCTTAAAGTCTGTACATAATTCTTATTTTGTATTCTTTTGCTTTGCTTTTCATAAAATTCTACGTGTACATATTGGGTTTTTTAAAAACAACAACACTCAAGTGTGAGGTTTAGAAGAGATTTTAATATTGCTACAAATCTTCATTGATTTCCTTGTCTAATGTGTGCAGAAGCATTTACACCCATGTAATCAGCAGACATAAAATATGTTGAAATTATATTGTGCACACTTGCAGACTACTTATCATTTATTCAGCTAGAGCACCACTCCTTTCTTGCAATCATCTAGCTTGCCTGATTTATTAAACTTTTCTGCTACTGTTTTTACCTTCCCATATTGGTCACTATGAATGGGTGTGGTATATGCCCTATTTCAGAATAGGCAATTGTTAACTTGATGATATTTGTGTGTGGGTTTGACTGCTTCTACCTTTGCACTAAAAATTAGGCATAGGAGGAAATTTGTTTGGTCCACTTTGCAGTGTAGTAACCTGATCTGATGCTCCTGAGGTTGCTTGCTGATTTTAAGTTAAGTGTGCACGGAATGCATACAGCAGGACAAGTGCAGATGAATTGGATGCAGTGGGCACCAGGGGACGCAATGGGATGGAACACAGCTATGTTCAAGAGCCAGCAAGACTGAAATAGGATGGAATTAGAGGCTTAGCCCATCGCTATTGAAAAATATGCAGGCTAGTGATTGTGATATTTTACTGTGTCTCCTATCAGTAAAAGTGCCAAACTTATTTATGCTCTTTCTGTGAACCCCATGGAATGAAAGCACAATGCTAATTGTCTCATTTCCTTTACTTGAATCAAAGCATAATCCTTTTTAAAGTCATTTGAAATGCTTTTGTTTAAGAAGAATGCTGTTCATTAATGCCAGAACATTTTCAGATCTTGAAATTATTTATAGAACAACTGCTTTTAAAAATGCTTGTTATGGAACAAGGGTGTTGCATGACTTGAGCAATTGTAGTAAAAAAGAAAAGCAGCACTTGCCAACAATGCACAAGAAAGTATTTTTAAAAATCAAGGATTCAGTAAGCTATAGTTATTGTGTAAAAAGTCCTAAGGGCACTTCAGTTCCCTTGCTCAGTTTCAGATGTCTGCACACCATTTATCCTAGGCAGTGAATAGCCATTCTTAGTTGGTTAAGTGATTTGTCTTCTTAATTCTGGTTTTGAAGGCGAAACTGGCATCTCAATAGTTCTGCAAGCTATTAGCAGTCAGCATCCAGCCTGTTTGAAGAATCTGGCATTTAGTGATGCTTTTACAATAAATTGTCTTGTACTTCTTGCAACTTTAGAAATTTAAGCTATAAAAATGTAGAGGCCCTTCCCATCTGCCTGTGTGCAAGAGTAGGTTAAAAGATATTGTATATTATGGTAGGTGGCTTCAGATTTAGAATTCTGAGTTAGATAGTGTGGTTTGCTAAGGCTGCACTAGAGGAGCCAGAATAAGTGAACATACAGCTGGGTGCTAGTCAGGGAGAGTTGGCGTTGGTTGTATCAGTTCGTGTTGATCAGAGAGGGAGTTAGTGTTTGTTGATGGTGTTTGTGGTGGACAGCAAGAAGACAGCAGAGGAAGAGGGTCAAGAAAGAAAAAGGAAGACCCAAAAGGAAGACAAGTGGCTTGGTGGCCGAAGACTTGTTGGGGTAGCTGAATCACTTGCCTCAGGCTAAAGAGATGAGGGGAAAACAAGTCTACAGCATCAAAGGTGAAGAAATGAGAGACATCTTGGAATTCTAGGCTGTAGTGTCTGGTAGGAAAGCCAGAGGAAGATTCCAGGATAGCACAGTAAAAACAGATCAATGCTCCAAGCGATTATATTCTACTTTGTACCATACCTCCATCTCACAATTATCAGGGATTATTGGAAAGTTAATATGCTAAGGGTGCAAGTGATACTAAATGATGGCAGTGGTATGGAAGTTGGGCTTTGTTAATAAAATAAGTAATGAAAACCCCCCTCCTTTTCTCCACCTAGACCTTGGACCTAAAGGGGAGGAGATTTGTTGAATGATCCCCCAGATCCCCCAGATTTTAAGACCTGCTAAGGAACAGAGGATTGTTATTATGTCCTCATATGAAAAACCACAGAATTCAAGGAGGATGTACTTTCTTTTCCCCATGACTATATAAGCTCTGTATTTAAGCTCTGATCCAGCAAAGGCTCCTGCCAGTAAAGGGGGAGAGGTGATTTTAGCTAAATTTCCCTTGCAGCCTCTATGCCCTTTGAAGAATAAATTGCTCTGGAGATTAGAAGACCCTCCAGAACCACATGGGAGGTGGTGCTCTATGGGCTGTAGAGTAGGCAAAATTTCCTTCTCGCTGACAAGAGCCTCTGCTGGCCTGGAGCAATAGTTATTTCAAATTGCCAAAACATCAGTATAGGTGCCTTGTGGAGCTAATGAAAGAAGTGTAGGAATTCTTTCAGTTTAATAAGCTGCTGCCATGTGCCGATTGAAAATGCGGTCGTCTTATCTTCTAAGGCTCTTTTTCATTTCTTGTTAGAGGACTGCATCAAAATAGCCTAGGCAAATAAAAGAGATTATTTGCTCTCTGGCTCACTGTTATAAAAATAGGCTTCATCAGTTACTCAACTAAAGCTTTATGTCAAATAACAGATTAAAGCAAGAATGAGGAAGCAAGTATGAGGAACCTCCTCCCACTTTTTCCCCTGGAGTGTACACTGTACACTGGCAGCGGATGAAGCAGAAGCCAGGGGAGGACAGGGCATCCTCTCCTCTCTTCCTCTCATTCTGCCTCTCCTGGATTAAAGCTTGGCACTTTTTTACTGATACTTGTATTGATTTAGAGATGAACTCTCTTCCTTTCCATATGGCTTGCTTTATTTTCTGTGAGTGAGTCTGTTGCTTCACTGCACTGGCCTTTTCCAAGAAAGCACATTTGATCTTTGCTGAACATTGTATTTTAGGGAGATTTCTCTTGTGGTGGAATCAACCCACAAATCACAAAAGTACTCTCAGATGTTTTCACCTTAACATTGCCAACAACACAAATATTTTTTTTCTTACATATACATAATATGTTAAAGACATGCCCCGTATGACAAGAATTTGTTATATTTGAGCATGCTCCAGATTATGCAATGTTTAGTAATTAAATATTTGTGCAAAATTGGAACTTTTGTCAAAGTCAAAATCCACGATAGATTGACATTTCTTAAAGGTTATATTTAAGAATGCTGAATTCAATACCCTGTGTTAAAAATTGGGAAGTGGGGAAAGAGAGAAATTAAACTATTGTGAAATGGCAGGTTAAATAATAACCTTCCTGAACTTCATACTGATCTCTCTTTTGCGATCATAGGCCAGTAGATTGTAAAGGTCATTTAATAATTTTTAAATGACCATATAATACTTGCCAACTGCTACTATGTTTTAATCCTAGAACAAAATGAAGCCTTTGGTTTATGTTGTTCATGGCATTCCATTTATTTATCAGTTTAATGCAATGAACACCGAAGAGTTAGATTGAAAGTTGGGCTATGATTTTTGGATACATTTCTCTATATTGCACCTTGACTTACACTCAGTGGAGTTCTGCTGGCACTAGAGAAAGGGGGTTGGATAGTTTCAGTTTGCAGTGCAGGGTTCTTCCCTCTGCTGTCACCTGTACCTCTTGAAAACATTCTCCAGAGACTGAGGGGAACAGTGGGGGGTCTGGGGGACTGGGAATGTGGGACTGGGGGCTGCAGGGAAAATGAGGAGTCGGCAAAGAGCATCCATAATTCCATAATTCTCTCATTTTCGAGGCAATGTATGTGGGTCCACTGCAGAGATCAGTCCCTGGAGGGGATTATACACATTGTTCCTGTTTGATCTCCTCTTGTACTACTTTGGGGGAAAGGCTTACTCCGTTATTGTTCTGTAAATGAGGTACTTCTTGTGCTTAGATTATTCCGGAATTGCTGGAATTTTCAAATCCTTTTGACAAATTAAAAGCAAATTGTCCATTTTGTGGTGACAGAAGTATTGATGATTTTGTCTCTTCACTTACAGCTTTTGCGAGAACTGAAGCACCCTAATGTGATTGCATTACAGAAAGTTTTCCTTTCCCATAGTGACAGAAAAGTGTGGCTGCTATTTGATTATGCCGAACATGATTTGTGGGTAAGTTCAGAATTTATTGGTGCTTTGACTGGCAGTGGTTCCATATCCATAGTTGGGGATAGTAAAAATCTGTAAAAATGAATAAATCCAAAACCCCAGAAATCAGAATAATTTATGAACTTGTGCAGATTTTCATATGCTTATTATATAGATACAGCCACATAAGGCAAATTGGAAATGGAGACATAGCTTGAGTGCCAAAATGATTTAACGTATTTTTCGCCCTATAGGATGCACTTTTCCCCCTCCAAAAATGAAGGGGAAATGTGTGTGCATCCTATGGGGCGAATGCAGGCTTTTGCTGAAGCCTGGAGAGTGAGAGGGGTCGCTCTCCAGGCTTCAGGAAGCTATCCACAAGCCTTGGGAGCCCGCGGGAGTTGCCACCGGGCTCCCTAGGCTTGCGGATAGCAGCCTGCACCCCGAAGCCTGCTGCGGGCTTCGGGCAGATATCTGCAAGCCTGGGGGGAAAATAATTTTTTCCCCTTTATTCCCCCCCCCCAAAAAAACCTAGGTGCGCCCTATGGGCCGGTGCGCCCTATAGGGCGAAAAATACGGTATTTACTTTTATAAAAAAGTTGGCCTAAAAGAAGGAGCTTCTTCAGATGACCTGTCTATTTAGCATCATTCTGGTTTGCTTGAACAAAGCTTACACGGTGGTCAGACTTCATTAATTTTGACTTTATTGAAATTTGTTCTGATTTGTTTATGGGGTGGTTCTGTGACATAGAGTATTCGTTTTGTATTCTTCCTGATTTGCTTGTAGGGATGGGGGTTATACGTTTTCCTGTGGATCTTTATTCATACCACACTTATCAACGTGTTTCCCTGTCAGTTTACAAATGTCCAGTTCTTTTATGATTTAAGTGGATTTGTTGCACTAAAGATCCAGTATGCATTGAATTGCTCCTGTAAAATAATTACAGTCTGGAGACATCCTTGTTTTTAGAGGCATGACTTATTTTTATTCATGAAGACTAGAAATCTCCCACCCCAGCTTCCCCTTTTTTGATGTGTAATATTACTGGTTTTCTCACTGTGTTTTAATTCACATTGCCCTATTCTACGCTTTATCGTTTTAGGAGTATGCAAATATTGATACGTATGCCTGCAATGCTGCAATCCAGATAACTGTTTGAGATTAGGGCTTATGACCTGAATGCGCTTGCCTGACCCAACAAGCCCTCTTCCCCGCCCCCCAAATGCAAGCAAACCCCACTGCAGCCAACCACACCCTGCCCCCCCAGGTACCTCTCACTGCCAAGGAAATGAAATAAACGAATAGAAAGAGAACCTACCCAGCTGACGCCGACACAAACCCCCACAGTACACTATACAAAAGAATATAAGCCTTACCACCCCACCCTCCTCTCCCCCCTCTTCTTCCCCAACCTTATACTGTACTCAGCACTAAGGTCTCACAACAAATGTAACTGATTCGTTAGAAAGACTGTACAACCTGAAAAAAGAGACACAACATGTACTTTCGTAAACCAAGAAAATCTTTAATAACAATATAAATTAGGAGCCTGTTCACATATTGCTTACAAGTTGGTGTGCGAATGTTTGTTTGTGCAACATGTACAATATGAAAATCAAACATATTTGTTAGCAGTTTGTTTGTAATAACCTCCTGTGGAAATAGTCTAATTACCACTGGTCTTCCCTAATCAGTTTAAACTATACTGAACTTGGATTACATTAACATGAAATTTAGGCTTACCTTGGACAAATTTCTGTAAAACATACAGTAGCAAGGAAACCACACTTTGAAAAGCCATTACAAAATACATGAGTAATAGCTTACTGTCAAGGAAAAGAAACCACACACACACACACACACACACACACACACACACACACACACACAATGTTCAAAGTAAAAAGAAACTTGGATCAAAATGATATAAAGTCATGAGGTTTCATGTTACTGCATGCTGCTTATAGTTTAATTGGATAGACTTGTTCTTACAGATTTACTAGCTTGCACCCACTCATTTTCGAAGTTTTCCCCATTGAAGTTAATTGCACAAAGAACGAGTGTACAATTAATATCCCAAAGTATCACAGTCTTATTATGAATAACTTCATTTTATATGCATGAACTTTAACTCTGTGCATCAGTTGAATTTATTTGTTTTAAAAGCAACCACAAAACAATATTTTGCTGCTAAAATGAGCAGTGTGCTTAAGAATTCAGTTTGCAGATCTTGCCATTTGAATGCTGCTTGCACTGCGTGAAAGTTGCCACATGAACAATAGGTTTGTTGGGTCACCACTACTTGTTAGCTATCTGTTATGCAGTCATAATGCAAAGTGTACATATTTCACTGTGCACTGTCACTTTCCGTGCAATGCACCATTTTATTATCACTAACAATTTTCAGATATACACTTCCACTTTTTAAATATGTTTGTACATTGAACCATTGAAAAAGGTACTTTATATTTTTCTAACTAAATCATGCAGCTCGTTAAAGGAAGTAAAAGTATTTATGCGCAATTGCCACAGGCTAATGACTACTTCACATATACCTGCAGTGGTAAGGGGTAAGGGAGGTACTATGCTGCTTTGAGAATGTGCATATGATCAAGCCATATAGATGGGACCAATGCTGTCGTTTCTTACCACTAAAACACTGGCTTCCCTCTCTGCCAGTAAGATTTGTGTGGGTAGTAACTGCATTGCTGGCCCTGCCTTCTTGGAATAGTGTTGGATGTCCTCCAGTAAAGTGACTCTCATGAATAAATATGAATTAACTCAGAATCTTATTTTCTGGTCATTGCTTCAACCCTCTACTTTTGCAAGCAGAGCCTTGTTTTGGGGTGTTTTTGGATCCCAAAATCTGAATATTCTATGATCCTTGAAATTAGCTACTTCATTATTCCTGTTGGCTCTCTTGGTTTTTTAATATTTTGTATAAAACATTAGAAGATGTATAGGGGCAATTGTACTATTTCATCATTTAGGAAGCATGCAATTCTGGGAGGAGGAATTTCAGAGGTGTGGAGAAACTAATTATTTTGGGCCAGTGAGAAACTTAAAAAGTGAAATGAAATGTGAAAAGATTGTCGCTAAGGGCACAGCTCTAGGAGGATCCATGCCTTCTTTGTTTATTGAGCTCCATAATGTACATCTTTGAATAATGTTTGCTTTCTCTGGGGAGTGTCCAAAATTTGCTGCCGGCCAAAACTTTATCCCTCATGTTTTGAATAACTCCGCCTCTGTCACTTATTCTAAGCATCACTCCCCCTCCCCCCGCCCCCGTTGTCTTTTTGCTCACTCCCAACTTTGTCTCTTTCCATGCTGCCTCTTACACTTGGAACTGCCTCCCAATCAACGTATGTAAAGCTCCTTCACTCTACTCCTTCAAAACCAACTTTAAAACCCACATGTTTAAGGACACATTTTTTTATCAGATCACTTACATTCTTGGTGTCATACTTGTTTGCATGCTCTGCGCTATAAATAAAGAGTAGTATTTAAAATTTTCAGGACAGAAAAGATGGCAGTCTGGGCCATTGATTATACTAGTAGCATTTTATATTTTAGATTGAGAGCCATCATGGTGTAACGACTAGAGCAGTGGAATAGTAGCAGGTAGATCAAGGTTTGAACCTTTAATCAGCCATCAAACTCCCTGGGTTATTTTGGACCAGTCTTGGTGATCATCTGCAGTGGGATGCCTGTGCAAACCATGGATGCTAGATTTACATGTCAACACCAAGCTATACTTAAATTCAAGGTTCATATAGAACACTAAGTCATCACAATAAACAGTAATTTAATAAGCCATGACTTATGAGGAAACCAAGTCATATGAAGAAGGTTCTAATTTACCACAGAGATAAGATCTAGTTGGGATCACAAGCTTTATTGGGGAATAAATAAGGAAAATATAGAAGCATTCATAATGTTAAAGAAGTAAAACAACTATAGATGCTTTGAAGTCTTCTTGGAATGGCCTGGTCAAGTATCACATTAAATGATAGCTAAAAATAAAGTTTGGCTTAACATGAACAAGCTGTGTGCTGGAGTGCGCTCCTCCAAAGTCCTTGCTCCTGCTGGAGAGAACACAAACCAGAGGCTAGCTTCACATTACATGTGAACTAGCATTTGCCACTTTTTCTCTCCAAATAAAGAACAGGAAGTAAACCAAGAACAGATATTGGTTTGGTTTACTGCCCATGGTTTGTTCAGAGATAAGCAAGCCATGAATACTGGTTCACACATAGTGCAAAGCCAGCCTCTGATTTGTTTCCTCTCTAGTGTGGCAGCAGTGGAAACAGGGGAGATAGTGAAGTAGGGACCTTTATTCAACATGCAGCAGCAGATTGTTCATACATGTTTACACCATAGTTTTTCACTGTGGTTAAATGTGATGTCCAAACCAGGTCTATAAGTTGGTGGAAAAACCTCCATCTGTTTTCTAATTGATAGATTGCTGGTTCCAACAGTATCTATTTTTTAAAAATGTATTTAATGAAACATAGTAAAATAAGTATAAATGTTAATAGAATCAGTGATATATCTGATTTGGTTAATCTACCTTTTTAAATACAGTTCTAGATAAGTTAGTTGCATAAATCTGTATTAAAACTCTGCGCACCATTTCTGTACTGAACAGGGTGGTCTCTAGAGGTTAAAGATCCTGAAAAAAGTTCCTATTTTTATGTACCAGACAGAGAATCAAGAAAGCTAGTCGGAATCCCATGGTTTTGTTTCTTTAAAAAACAAAAGTCTGTCCAGGGCTTTTCCTTTCCTGGGTCAGGCAATTAGATTTCATCACAGCTGGAACATTTGCAATAGCAGTAGTGCTGCAGTCCAGGGTATAATTACTTTCCTGAGCATGTGAATACTTTATTCTGCCACAGTTTGATTTGTGGCCTTTAAAAAGAGCTCTGATGTTTGAATTTGGACGTAGTCTGCTGTATGACCTTCCTTTCCCACACACAGTACAAATGTTGTTGTATAAGCTTATCCGAGCCTCTCTAGCTTTGTGTGCAAGGTGGTCCTAGAG